TGTTTAACCAGGAAAACTAGTTTTCTTAGGTAAAAGAAAATTATTTCATTCAAATTTCGGCTTATGGAAAACTGATCAAATAGTAATGCCATAATTTCGAGTAGGTTTTCATTATATACAGCTGATATTTATTTTTAACATTTAGATTTAATTTAGATTCGAGCTCAAGCGACCCATTTGTACCTACTCATCGTCGCATAAGAAAGGCTTCAGTTTTTAGTCGGTCATCAACGCTGGTTCGTTTCGATTGATCATAAGAAATAGGAAATGTAGGTGTTTAATCACTTAATGTATCATGATAACATTTAATGCTCAAGCACACCATTTCAATCCCGTGCTGCCTCGAGGTAGCTGTTGTAGTGTTTTCTTTTCGCATTACCAAACCAAGAAAAGAGCTAAAAGTAGACTCAACAAACGTAAATAAAACTGAAAAAGCTTTTTTGGGAAATTTGTTAGCGATTTATACCTAATATTTCAGAAGTTCGAGATCTTTGCGCGATGTCAATTTCAATATAACCCTTGCGCATAGAGAAAAAGTTAATCACTAGATTTTACAACATATTTCACGGTTATTCCAACAAAACCTTGCATTACCTTTGTATTTATATAACCCACACTCATTTCTGATAAAACTGTGGCAAAAAAACGATGATCTCTCTCCTAAATCGTTTTTCGGACGTCAAACCAACCTTCCGCCGTATATTTCTTTCTAGCGAGTTGCAAAGTTTGCCCAGTGGCGATCCCACAAATGTTTGGGCAAACACAAGGATCAGATTACTAGTAACTTACTCATTTAATTTAACGAGCAGTGCCATTTCAGGTTGCATTGAATCATTTATTTTTTCATAAATGCACAGCGCCGAATTTTAAACTCAGTTATCTCGAAACAAGCGCTAGTAGCTATCGATAACCCTTCTTGAAACCAACTCTTCTAGCATGCTCATTGATCAGGCGTTTTTGTGATAGAAATATTCTTACAAAGGGAGAGGGTCTCTGCTACTTCTTGTCGTTCATTTTACAATTTCCCGTTGTGCTTATGTTGTGTTGAAGACTGCCCTATTACTATTTATCAACATCTCTCATGATCAGGTTTTCGTCGAGTAAAAAGTCTCGCTATACCATCATGGCTCTGCGTCTTTCTGAACTAGCAGTCCTGTTGATTCTGGTGGGTATCTTCACTATCCTCAGATTTGAATGAAGTCATTCAATATTCAGAAAACACAGAATAATTGTATCTATTTAGTCATGTAACCAAAAAGCTACCAAAATTGAAAGCCAGACAAGCAGCCGTTTGAAGTCTTCAAAAATAATACACAAAAAAACCTGAATCATTGAATTTAATGCACCCTGCCTTTATTTGATCGTAACTTATTGCTCAAACTTATGGGAAACCCCGCTCTGTAATGAAATTTTTGACCTTCATAGACCTGTTCTTACATTTTTGAGTCTCCGCTTTTCGGTGTTTTCCAAGTCATGTCTAATGGTGTTTAATTTCTTAATTTTTCGCAGAGTTCTAGATATCCCGACGTCTCTGGTGAGTTGCCAGGTAAGAAAAATATTTTGATGCGTATTTTCACAAAAATAAAAGAAAAACAAGCACTTGTAATAATTAATACCACAACTACGAAATGAAACTGTAAGTTGTAACTATGAAAGAAGGCAGCCTCTAATGCAAGGAAAAATCGATTAGGGCATGATTTGGTCTTTATGCGTCGATCAAAGCGAAGCTTCAACATGCTCCCCCTTGGCTTTTGAACCTTTGAAGATTGGTTCCATCAAATTCCAGCTCTTGGGGCCAAAAATGTGTTTCAATGCCGCACCTAAATTCCGGATTTGATATTCTATTTTTTTTTGTTTAAACCACGATTAGTGACCTTGACTTTCTTATAGACCTTTTTTACTTCTGAGCCATCTGCTCGTGAAAGTGAACATTTTGCCTTTAAACACCTCCACACTAAGACATAAAAAAATTACGCTGGATAGACCTGACAGTTCTGGTTCAAGTTCCACCAAAGCAAGGTTCAAATTCCCCATTCCCTGGGCACGGATGACAGTCAAATGCCCATGGTTTGCCCGGGCGGGGATGTTGAAGCTTTGAATTGATCGGCCCATCAATTTTTTGTGTCAAATCAATTTTTGCAGATTGCTTTAGTAATCCTGTTGGTGTTGCAACTCCCAGTATCATCTTTGATCGTCAGATGACAGCATCATCCAGAAATAGGCCGTCTACCAGGGCGGCTTATGGTCGCCTCAATGATAAAAGAGGCGACGGTTGGTGTTCACTTGAGGCTAAAAGTAACGCTGAATGGCTTCAGGTTGACATCGGAAAAACAATTCAGGCATGTGGTCTCGCCACTCAGGGAGGCGTACCAAGCACGAGACGGGAATGGGTAAAAGATTTCAAGCTGGATTACTCTTTTGATGGAGAAAATTGGAAGAATTATCGGGATGAAAATGGAGAAGTAATGGTAAGATTTATAATATAAAGACACTGTGAGCAGTAATCGTATCAAGAAACGCTTTGATACACGAACTGTTTTATCTAATAGAACAATTAGACCAACAGTTTTTTCATGCTTTGTTAAACGTAAAGGCAATTTCTCCGGTTGCATATTGTATCTGATATTAAAACTTTCGCGATTCCGTTTGCTTTTCGAAGGAGGTCTCTTTTAAGAATATTTCTCTTCCTTAACGTAATGCAGTGTTCCTTCTTTACGCATTTGTGTCAAAGGTATTTCGAAGGATGGTTAACAGTTCCAAAACCAACCAACACAAGTTGCCACTGCCAGTATATGCAAGGTACTTCCGATTTCTTCCTACACGGCGTCACGAAAGGAACTGCCTCAGAGTTGAGATTTACGAATTCAAAAGTGAGTATATGATAAAAAATGTGCTTGGACAAGTACGATTCACTTTTTCGTATCAGGAGTGGATTTTCGGCTATGGTAAGGTACCCTCATTAGTTTGGATGACCAGGCGGAGCGAAATGAATTCTAGCAACTAGATTTAAAACTTTCTTACTGGAAACTAAGCAATCCCAAATACTTCTTAGGGTCTGTATCAATCTATTATTGTATCGCTGGTAGTACCCGTCGGGAGTATAAAACGAACCCAGTGTTCTGATTGGCTTCCTAAGAGAGCAAGATGGTCCTTCGTCTCGGTCCATAAAGACGCAAAAAAAGAAAACGGTCATAATCCAACCATCGTGACCTCACCCTTGGTCAATAACATATATAGATAAACTTGTATGAACTTGACTGAGAGCTGCTTGCATTTGCTGGAGAGAAGAAAGTGTAATAAGTACGTGTCTTCATTTTGTGGCATTGTCGACGACGTTGGGACATCAGTTTCTGCTGTTTTTTTTTATCGCACAGTTCGAAATGTCGCACCCCTTCGATTTCTGAACAACCACGATGGGCGTTTCTTTGTCCTACACGCCCATCTATAGTTGGTCGATAACATTGAGTTTCAGTGGCCCCGTTGTCATCAACTCTGCCGGACGTTTATCTAAATACTTCTTGAACAATTCATCGCGGCATCTCTTCTTGCAAGTTGAGACCTCTTTGAGGTTAACTAGTAACTGCGGTTTGAAACTCAATCCGTCGCCTATTGTCTTCATTAAACCTCCAGAAAAAGTGACAAATGCTGCTCTTGCCGGCTTTGTAAGTGCGTTTTTAGTAGCCAGCAGACCGTGTTAATGAAAAAGTAAGGGGCTTCGTCGCCCAACTGGCCATTGTCCCACAGTGTTTCCTCCTCTTCTTCTGTTAGACTTTGAACTTGCTTTGCCGCTTCCCTATTCCAAACTCATGAGGTTTCCTTTCTTTTAGTTTTTATGCTTTCCTTGATGAAAGTTACTTTGTATCTCAAGCAACTGAGTTTGGACAGTGTTTGCTTCGTAAATAAGGATCCGTAAAGCTGCTTGCACGAATTCTAACGAGTCTGGTTCGAGCCACTTTTCTTCCTCGTTTCAAGGACAGCTCAGCGAAAAATAGAGCGAATGCTATGTTGAACTGTGGTACTTCTCAGCCCTGAAGTTCTCTATTCTTCTCTAATTGTTTGTACTTATTTTGGTGTTTTTATTTTAACTTCCTTGTATAAGTTCTTCGACGGAGTCCTCGTCGAGCGTCAATAGAACGGGCAGCTATTATTATCAAAAAATATTCTTGGAAATGATCTCAACAGCCCTTCTTTACTAACAATATCTTAACTAATTAGGATCAATTCATCATGCCCTCTTGATTAACAAAAGTGCCCTTGTGATTAAGAAAGAATGTCCTCTCTCTCAGCCAATCAACTTCTAGTAATTTTGCCTCTATGAGGGTCCTGACGAAGCATCAGCAATATTGGTCATGACCCTGTACCGAGGCAAAGCTGATGTACAGAAATTCGTGGGAACTCTCAACCTACTTCGTAACCTCAGTATGATCATTCACCCTCTCACAGAACTCGCCGTTCTGATACCCCTGCAGCTGGGCACAAGCGCAAGATGGCTCATTCAAGAAAGCCAAATAACTCAAACTCGACTCCCCTGTGGCCTATCAAACAAACCTTTCAACAAAAACATACCAGTGAGGGTGGCTTAGGCGGAGCACGTTTTCAGCCCAATAGAGATCGACGCCACCAAGCAGTGAGTAACTGTGGTGTATGACGTAAGAAGTCACGTTGTCACACTCGTCAGTATCGTTTTCATGTAAAATGTGTGTCGTAGGGATCGTTTGGCTACACGGCCGAGATTTCATATAGGGTTGGTAAATAAATCTCTGTCGGGTTTTGTACACGTCTCACTCATATTTTAGACACGGTACGACGCCGTACGCTACACTAACAAAACAAACAACCTCGATACCACCAAACAACGATTAATTGGCTATCTCGACTGCGACAGAAGATTATGATCACCTAAAATATAGTAATCAGACATAGAAGCCTATTTCGACCATTAACTACTTGTGGCCATAATAGAATTTTTATTGCACAAAGCAGCAGCTAAGCTGCGGAAATGTTCACGAGACTGTAGAGAGACCATTTAAAGACCGAATACAATAAAGACACCACTCTTTCGCCGACAGCCTAGAGAAAGCAGGGTTGCTCATTCCAACATAGGAGAGGGTAAAACACCTCGAATATACAAAACTATATCATACTAATCGTCAAAAAACCGTCCACGTGAACTGAGATGCTACACGAGAAACCCATGATATATTTGCTAATGCTGACTCTGCTCTGGCAGATTCTGGGCTCAGATTTCTTCATGCACAATCCGTAAGCCTCTTACCACCGACTGCAATTTTTTGGACTGGCTCGAAGTCCATGAACTCACTGAAACCTTAGTTGTAAAAATACTTCGCCCCGTATTGTGTGTTCAACCATACCACCTCCAGCCCTTAACACTTCCTGTGCAATGGTCGCTTCTCTTGAGTTGTATCTTGACAGAGAAAACAGCAGCAGACGATATCTTCGATCATACAGTCTCTGCTAGGGAACCAAAAAGCTGAAAGGAGCAGCACCTTTATCATAACGATGCCCTGATGACCTTCATGGCTGAAATTGACACTTACATCAAGAGCCTTGGGCAGAACAACACTATTCCTCCAAGGAGAACTCCGTTCGCTGCACACGGCTTGACCGATAGTGATTTCAGGATGTTTATTCTTACTATGAAATTGACAACTTTGTCCTTTATTATTAATTTGCTCCTGGTAATCATTGGAGGGCTCTGGTGCACTATATATCAAAACTGCCAGGTTTACCTTCCCAGGCCTGTATTTAACTGTTAAGTGGAACTGTTGCAGGTACTTATTCCGCCATTTACTCTGATCGGTGGTTTATTGTTTTGAATATGGCCTCTGACCAAAACTTTAACAACTTTAAAACGTGTTTCAGTCATGCACATGCACAGACACCTTCACGGCCAGCGGATAGTCAATGCTTACGGTTGCAGCTATCTATACACCTCCCCTAAAGGATCTGATCTGATTTTCTGGTGTAGATAGCTGGTCATCAGCCATCCCTCTTCTTTTAAGCCAGTAAAGCACTGAGTCGTACATAGCTTATGACTTCTGTTTCTGCTCCAACATCCCAGCGGGCAAAAGAGGCAATTGTCCAGCAGTAAATTCTTGATCTTTATAAACTTCTCTCGCTCTCTTTCTGCTCATCGTCATTTCACACTTTCTCAGCTTCCTTGGCAGTGGTTAGGGTTTCAGCCTCCCTCATCACTGGAACATGACAGGATGTGGTGAAACTCTTGAGGCGGACAAAACTTAATCAAAAATAAAACTAAAGTTTTGACTAGTCGAAAAAAGATCAGTAAGACTGATTGTTAAATCGTTGAACTTAAGAATAGTTAGCCACATTTCTTTATCAGATTCAAGGAGCTGTCGCTCTAAATTCCGCAAAATCAACTGGTTAGAGGCCACAGTGAATCGTTTGAGAGCAAATTACGTATTTTATTTGAAGCGAGCTCTTCATATTTAGTAAAACTCTCATTGACCAGATCTACAGCTTGGTGTGAAAAAGGAATTTGACTAGATCACCTTTTATGTAAACATTTAAACTGCTTATTTTCGCAGTCCCAGGGTGCCAGGATATAGAGTTAGGACTTGGCAATGGATACTTCCTGGATAGAGACATCAGTTCGTCCTCTGTCCTAAATACCAATACACCTGCTAAGAACGGTCGATTGAACTACACTGGTGGATCATCATGGTGTGCAGCAACAAATGACAGTCAGCCATATCTACAGTTTGACTTTGAGAAGCTTTATATCATCTGTGCTGTGTCCACTCAGGGAAATTCTCAAGGGGATCAGTGGGTAAAGAAGTACACACTTCAGTCATCCAAGGATGGGACAACATGGACAGACTATCGAGAGGCAGGAATATTGAAGGTTCGTTCGTTTAGAATTCTGGGAAAAAATAGTCATAAGAAGTAAAACTGTGAATGAAAATCATCCTCGCTTTCTAAAGTTACTCCCACGGGAAAGATATCACTAACTCTCGAAAATAAAATTCGAATCCGCTCGCAGCCATCTTCGTTTTTGCATTTATTCAAAATGAATGATAAATGATTAGTTAGCCCTACATATTTCTTTTAAAGAAATCCTTCCATTTTGGAAAGATTCTTTTCACATTGTAAGTACAGGTTCACCTTTTTAATTGTTTTTCAAGCAGATCACAGCCGCTGCTATTTTACTATTGCTGATAATTCTTACCTTTACAGATCTTCACCGCAAATATTAACCGAAACAACACAAAAAAACAAACTTTGTGCAACGGGATTGTTGCTAGATTTTTGCGTATCATTGCCCAAGAACACTACGGAAATTGCTGTATGAGGGTAGAGACATTTGGAACACCGCTGACACAAGGTAAGGTTACCTAGGGTGATAATATCAATGAAATAGTCAACGATTAATTTTGCAAAGCTTCAGAAAGCTCTATCAAACCCCTGAACTTGGATAACTGACGTTACATTTAAGTTAAGAGATGCGGTAAATGGTAATTCCCATGTGAATAGAGTTCTCACAACCTTCAGCATTTCAAAAATGCGTGATTGACAATCTCTTAAACGTAGCCTGACAATATATAAGAGATTATACTGTCAAGAGATTATAAAAGTTTAAAATCTCTTGTTTTAAACTCAATAGGGGATGCCATGTTAACGCACTCACTTGAGCTCAGAATTTCGGAAGTCGCATTTCCTGAGATAAAATTCTAAATTTTCTGGGGAAGGAAACACTCAAAACCTCCTATCAGTGACCGGCCTGGATTCTCGTATGAACCTCCCCCCCTCCCTCCCCTCACATCTACAAATGCTGTATCCGTCCTGGAAGAGTACTCTTCACAAAAAGGAAAAAAAAATTCAACGATCGCTCAACGAGTGACCAGGTAATAGCTTGGTGTGACTATCTTTTCCAGCGCTCGAGAGCATTCAAGTAGAAGGGAGCAACCCTTAACTATATTCTTGTTTCAGGAAAATCAGAAAAAACATCGAGTTTTCTTTATTGGTTAAGTGACGTTGCATGTATTTTCAGACAATCTGGCCCATTGGAAGCCCACAAGTCAGTCAACTATTTTTAAAGAGCGTTTTGCTAGTAACGCCGTCGATGGACTCTTTGTAGATTCAGGTCCTTCCTGTACTCGGACAATACTCCGAGGCACTACTGATCCGTGGTGGAGAGTCGACCTTGACCAAGTGCAGCCCGTTTCCCAGGTCTTCATACTCGGTAGAGATAATATTGAGAGAAGAATAAACGGTGCTGAGATAACAGTGGGTGAGAACTAATGATTTAATTGTAACTTAAGGTTGAATTCACTGGGGAATTGAGAGTGTTTTCAAAATTTTTTGACTTTTTCCCTGATTTCATGCGTTTGTCATTGGTAAGCCTTAGTTTGATAGCATGCGAATATTTGAGTTTCAAACGCACCATCAAACCTTACGTGTTTTGCCACTTCCAACCATGTCGCACACCTCCTAAGCGATAGAGGGCTTCAAAATTTCCCGTTCCTGTGTTGTTATGGGCAGATTTCGATCTATTTTGCTTGCTTCTGTTATGAGATTTCGTCTGCGTAGCCGTACGTTTGTACATCTCTTATGTAAATGCTGTTCACATGGCACTTAATAAAATAAGTTAGACCTCGAGCTTCAGAGTCATGTAATGCATGAAAATCTTCGTGTTGTAATTTAAATGATCACCAATAATTATACTACTTGAAAATCTTCTTTAATGTTTTGTTCACAGTTCGTGGAAAAAATACCCATTTGCCATATAGTCCACGTGGTACAGTATAAGCGTACAGAGTCCTATTTGTCTTACCATTAATGAACAGTCGCGGTTTTAAGTCTCGCTCATCATTTTATCTTTAATGCTTTAAGGAAATGAAACCTCAAAAGGAGGAGCAACTAATAGCATTTGCGTCCGTGATGTTCTCGTCCCTGAAGGAAAGGGAAAGTTTTTTCGATGTAATATGACGCTGTATGGCAGGCACTTATTCATCCGGATACCTGGATCATCAAAAATATTGTCCCTATGTGAAGTTGAAGTTTTCTCCTCAATTAAATCAAGTAAGACTTGTTATATAATGCCTCGCAAAATTGCTCTTATGTTGGAAAATTACCCTCCACTTAGTCCAAGTTTTGAGTGAGACTGCCATGACTAGCATCCATAACGATGTATGAGAATCGTGTCAGCAATCCTGACCATCAGATTTACCGTGAAACTATAAAATAGTCAAAAAGTAAAAATACTCAATTCCGTCTTTTGTTTCCATCTTTTTTTTATTCTTCCTGAGTTGATTTATGGTGGTTTTAGTAAGAGCTCTTTTGAATTTATGCAGTTTTTACTACCTAGTATTTATTTCGTGTTTCTGCGAAGAAATTTGGTAAAGTTTGTTAATTTCGCAACTGCGTTCATTCCTGGACATCATTTAATACAGTAGGCTGCCGGACACATTTATTTGGGGCCATATTACCTTCCCTGCCTGTTTTAGTGTGACTTGCAAGATCAAATGAAAAAGGATAAAAGGTGGGAAGGAGGAGAGAGGCAAAGAAAAGAAAAAATATTTACTCAGGTTTACTCAAGTTGTGCCTCAGAGGATGACTCAATTATACAACTGTGAAATCCCCCATTTCAGCAACTACTTAGATTTTAGTAGCAGCGCTACATTATACCTGAATCTCAGTTTACAAGTAATACAGAACATTTATGCTTCTTAATAAGTTGCTTTTCTTTCTTCTAGATCTTGCCTTAAATCAGTCTCTTAAGCAGTCTTCCACATGGACTAACACTGTGTTAGATGGAGATATTCGTTCCTGTGCTAAAGGCACATTTCAGAAGGACCACTGGATGAGAGTAGACCTAGGAGTACCGCGGGTAGTAGCTAAGGTCGTTATTAGTCACAAGCGTATGTGGATTGATGGCCTTGAAGTCTGGATCGGTGAGTTCAGGACAACGCAAAAGATAGCGGAGATCAAATATGCAGTTAAAACTGACTTGTCCTATGTCCATTTCCGACAGGTCATGACAGTGGCAATAGAGACAACACAAACTTGCGTTGTGGAGGACAGGATACTTCCGAAACAGCTTTTTCGGTTAAAACAGCTTTCTCGTTAAAACAACGGACCATTTTTTGTCTTCCTAGGCTTGTGGGAAAATTTGTTTTTATTGGAGTTTCCAACGCTGACAAAACTCTCTACCTATGCGAGGTGCAGGTTTACTCTCAAAGCTCGACAAGAATGGGTAAGGAGCTGTCATGTCAAAAATTTCATGGATGATATAGCCAAGGGGTTATACTTCTCTTTTACTTTTTCCTGACAAATGTAGGATTTCCCTGACTAACTGAATTAACAGTCTTACAAATAAGTCCTGATTACGACATACACCCTTCCCTTACAGTCTCATCCTCTGCCCCTAAACTAATGCTTTCAGCAAGTAGCAAGTTAAATTGTTCATTCCTTAGAGTAACATACAAATAGGAGTAATTTTCGTTAAAAAAAATTAACAACAGATTTTCGTTCAATTTTATTAAACACTATTCTACCAATCCAGCACTTTCATTCCCTTGAAGGTACTAAAAAATTTGAAATGTTAGCTAAAATTGAAAAAAGAAGAAAAGGTAAGCGTACAATCTCACTTAAAAACCAAGATAAACTCCAATTGCGAGTGGAAAAGATATGCTTGCCATTAAACTGTCAACTGTTATAAACAATGTACATAAGTAACATCGACAAGTAACGTTAAGTGGAAGTATCATCCATGATCATGAAGAGGGCCAAGACAAGATGAATGCGTTCACATTTGAGCCACATCGAAATCTCTCTGGGGAAAGTATTTCAGTTTAAGTCGTACTACATTCTTCTGATTCTTTTCTCTATCCCTGGTACATATGTGGAACCTTTCCACAACGGCCACCTCAGGAAGATAAGTAATTGTTCTTTGGAGGAAAAGGGTTTTCCAAAGGAAGAGGCCGTCGATAGGGACTCAACTTAGCGATGTTTCCCAATTCTTTTTTCTGAAGCTTGTCAGACACAGGCAGTTGAGGTGGCCAACAAAAACATCTTCCCAGAAAAAAGTTTCTCAGCCTCATCATTCCGTGAAGGTGATGAACCTTACAACGCGCGCCTACGGAGTGGCATGGGTGCTTGGTCCCCCAGGGATAATAGCAATGCTGATGATTATGTGGAAATTAATCTTGGAAACGTGTTCTTCATTTGCGCTGTGGCTACCCAAGGAAGTCCACATCGCAAAGAATGGACCAAAAGTTACAAGCTCTATTTGTTCCTTGAGGATTGGATGATCTATAAAGAGAATGACACGGAAAAGGTCTGACTATAGAAAGTAGAAACTATAGAAGTACGCTTTAGTCTCTATGTGACATGGTTGTATGAGATAACGGTTCGATTAGCAATCCGAATGTCGACCAGTTTAGTCAAAGGTAAAAATTTATCCGTTGGTGAAAACTGTATTGATCATCTTGCACTTAACTGATAGGTAAACGCAACTGTGTTTAAACCATGTACTTTAAGGCGTATTCTCTTGAATTTACAGAAATACTTTGATACATGGATAAAATCCACTTATATGCCGACCATTTTTATTACAGATTTTCATTGGCAACTCACACAGGAATGAAATAGTGCAACATGTTCTGGTAGAGGTGGCAAGAGCTCGGATCATTCGGTTCCAGCCAGTTGACTATCATATTCACAAAGCTCTTAGAGTAGAAGTGTATGGAATAAGAATACCTGCAGGTACGTCAGTTTTGCATCATGCGACCATCGTTGGCTGTAATATTTTAATTCAAAGGATTATGATGAAGATTTTTTAGGACTGCACCGATCGAGTTTTTTTTAAACAGTATCCTATTTTTTCAGTTGTGAAAGCACCTGAGCAATGAACACGTACGACTAATCGTTGTCTGCTGGATATCTGAGCGCTTCGAAATGTGGTCGGAAGGTCAAATCTTCAGATTTCTTTCCGAAAGGCGTTTCACTGCAGGCCGATCTTACCAGAAGTCGACAAATGCAACATGTATTCGGTGGAACGATCTTAGACAGCCCAAAAAGTCACTCATGAATTTATATATGATGAATTTTTGAGCAAACCGATCGGGTTCGGTTAACTGATCTGAGTGTGAATCATAGACACCGTTTACTTAGGTAACTAATACAATGATAAAAAAATGGTGATCTTCAATAAAAAGACGAAAATTTGCTCGTCAAACCCGGGATAGGTTTTTAAAATAATTGTCGTGTCATTTGTCATTAAGGCGTGCATTAAACGTGAACACTACGCAAGCGGGCCGGTATTTTTGCCATTTCGATCAAACAAAAGGACGTCGAAGCGTGAAAAAATATAGTTCAACCAAACGGAGAAGTCTAACACATGGCCTAAAGTGCATTTATTTCAATATTTGTTTTATATTGGCTTTTACTCAACTTAGTCACATTAGCCTGTTCACTTCTGATGTGTGCTTTCTGTCGCGTTTATCCTTCCACAGGACCACCTGCACCTCCTATCATTGAAAACCAGGAGCAGGAAATGTCGTATCCTAATTTGTCCATATCATGGAGTTCTGGTGATACTAGCGGCTGTCCAGTTACTATGTACACAGTGTACTACAAGTCCATCCAACGGCGAGAGGAGGAAAATACTTGGAATCGTATCAGTGCCTCTTCGAGTACGAGAGAGCTAAGTGCCCTACCACTTGATTGTGACACAGAATATGAATTAAGAGTGTCTGCATGGAATGAACTGGGTGAAAGTAACCCTTCAGAGTCCTGGAAAGTGAAATCCATTACAGGTATTCATATCAATTGTTTTTCTCATTCTATTTTTGCCGAAATGATCTCAAAACGATTGTTACCAGTTGCAAAATTCATTGGGCTCAACCAGAACATATCCAATGTAAAAAAGGCTAGCTTGTGAGGCCTGGAAGAAGACAGAGCCGTGGAAAACTCACCACCATTCGATTTTCAACTGAAAACTAGACGACTGGTAGTACAATCCGTCGGTCAGATGAACGATAATACACAAGAGGGTGGTAAATACGATTCTGTCTCGTGCCTTTCTATTTTCACCCTTAACCTTTCCAAATTTGGTCGTTGTCTTTCCTGTCCAACCCTTTGTTACACTTACAATTCGAGATTGACAAACTCCTTTTATTGCTTTTTTTGGGTTCTGTTTGTTAGTCTGTATATTTTTTAGTTTACTTGTTTGTTTGCTTTTTTTCCTTCTTCTTTTCTTAGGGTACCCAGTCATTGTCAACAGGACCAACCAAGTGGAAGGGAGTCTGGTGGCGATCCGTTGGAAGCCATGTACTGCTTCTTTATTCACTATATGCCACAGAGAAATACTTCCAGAGGGTAAAAGCCACTGGAACGCAGTGAACGTGTCGGGAAATGAAACAAGTTATGATCTTCATCTCAGATGCCGAAGGGATTATGAAATAGCTATAACAGCCTGGAATTCTACAGCAGAGACGCCACTGACTGGATCACTAAACCACAGAAGGTTGTGGAGCGTTAGGACATTAGGAGGTAACTGCAGTCATGCTCCATTTAAAACTCCTACAAAGGACTTAAATTTGCGTAAGAAATATCTTTCGATGGTGGTGAGATATTTTCATCGTCCAACAGATGTGTGTGTTTTCATTCCTAGTTTCTTCAATGAGAACATGTACGGTAGATATACGCTTTTTGGGTGTTTACAGTTCATAGTATAAGATTCTTACTGAGCCAGAAACATATGGTTTGGTCAAGGGAAGTAGCTGAAATCTCGTTGTCGTATTAATATTATTTCGTTGGCCGTCTGAGACAATTTGAAATGTATCTATTAATTACGTATTTTGTTGTAGTTTAGACCGCAAGGAAATGTTTGACCACTTTCCCTAGACGAGAGTGAGGTCATGTTTTTACGAATGCTTCTAGCAGGCTTTTGCTAAAGTGTTATCGCTTCTTTTTTGCCTCAGGTAAACCGTCATCCCCGATTATAGACGGCAGAGGTGTTCAGTTGTCCGGTTGTGATGTGAGCATCAAATGGAGTTCCCCACCAGATAACGGCTGTCCGCTGACCTTGTACACAGTATACTACAGAGAGGTGCAATCTACAAGCGAAGATGGCTACTGGCATCAAATCAATGTTACCGT